GGTTCCATACAAGTCTTTTTTCCAGTTTTATGTTTCAAAGCTTTTTTTTAGCTTCAAATTATTTTTAGCAAACTTTATGTCCMCAAATTAGCTCCATACAAAGGCTCATTTTTTTCCTTTCTTCAGTCAAATCTGTTATTAACAAAGTGTAAAAAAAAAAAAACAAGTAGACCAGAAATTGGATTTTTTGCCACAAAAATGCAAATAACTGAAAAACAACACGGGCTGAGAGAAATGTTTTCATGTAAATCAGCTGAAGTCTAAAGAAGAACTTTAGCTACACAAACATTTGCCTCATCAGGAGCTAAATATAAAGAAACGAGGTCCTGAATTCTTTGCACTGCGCTGTAAGATGATGACACACGTGAAACCCTTCCCTGATGATGTCATGCTTACCGGTAATAGTCCCGAGCTGAATGTGTCGCCTCGTTGTGAAAGTAAAAACACAAAAGAAGATGTGAATCTTTGTTTAGTCAGGCGGGTCAACAGCCGAACCTACAGAACAACAAAGAGGACACGGCATCTAAAAGCACAATAATAAATATGGAAAAACCCGACAMGCTAACGTGGCCTGGAGGGTCACTTCTTTTAACTTCCTCCTCAAATTAACACCTTTTATGGTCTCGTAAACACAAATAGGAAAAAACCCACAAAACTGCGAGCTGCTGTTAGAAAAATCTAAGCTTTATTTATAAAATCGATATATTAAGATTTAGGATTGTCACTGTGCAAATAGGAGCAGGCACTGCCATAAAGCTTTTTTTTTTTCTTTGTGATTATGTTTCATTCTGGTGTAGATTTTCTTTTCTCTTACAGAAAAAGCCGTTAAGACAACGTTCCCTTTGATTTTCACGCGCAGTGAAGAAACAGAAAACAACATCTACGTCACCCGGCAGGATGAAATGCTAAACTTTACAGAGTGCTTTGTTCTTTAAAACTGCCACACATTTAACTTCGACCATGCAGGAAAACAAAACTGTGACTGAACATWGTTAATAAATTACATGTCTGCAGCCGTGCAGCGTTCTGTACATCCAGTGTTAAACAGATCAAACTTTCGGAAAGCAAAATGGAGCTGCAGAGAACCGTCCCGTCCGGTGAACCAGTTTCTGCTTTACGTCCTGAACGGGTTGTATTTTTCCCGCCCTCACAGCTCCGTCTCTTTTCCTTCCTCTAAGTAATACTCGTCGTCCGTGGTGGTGTCCGAGCTGCTGTCCGAGGACTCGTCGAAGGTGCTGAGGCTGGACCGGTAGCCCCGGGAGGGCAGGTGTCCTCTGGAGGACGGGCTGTCTGCGGGAGGGGAGAGGCTGGGGGGTCTGGACATGCGCCTGGAGACCGGCGACAGGGGAGGCGTCGGAGGAGGGGTCGGGGGACTCTCTGCGTCCCACTCCGRCTGGCAGATGTTACTGCTGGGGGTGCGGAGACGTGCTTGGTTTGTGGGGGTGGCGGCCATGGACTGGGGGGCTCCTGAGCTCCAGTTGGCCAGGCGCCGGGTCAGGGATCGAGGCAGAGACCTGGATCGCATCTTGCTGGAGTCGCAGAGGTAATCTGACACCTGATGGTCGTAGAGAGGCAGGGAACAAAAGTCCCCCGACCAATCGGGCGCGGYGGAGCCCTGATACGGTTTGTTGGCGCCGCCTGCGCAGGTCAAAGTGGACTGGGAGAGGTCGCCCACGCTCATGAACCTGGATCCGGTGGAAATGCGCCCGGGCCTCGAGGGTCGGCTGGAGAGGACGGAGCTGACGGAAAATGACTTCCCGGGCTCGATGCCGTACTTTAAGTCGGCGTACGAGGACGGGAGGTGTTCTGCGTCYGGCCCGGGGCTCAGGCTGGGCGGACCCGTGGCGGCCCGCCTCCTCCTCGAGCCCTCGAGGCTGATCTCTTCTCTGGGCTCRCATGGAGAGGGTTCCCTGCGGCGGTGCAGCTTCGGGCTGTAAAACACATCATCCACCACATCCGGAGAGGAAAAGGGGGAAACGGGGGAAACGGGGGACAGGGAGGAGTACGGGGAGAAGGGGCTCCTGGGRCTGCGGGTAGACTTCCTGCACTGACTCGTATAAGCAGGAGAAATGGGATCTGAACCCGGGATGAACGGGTTTACTGGGCTGTGCACCGTCAGGTGAACCTGACTTTTAGATGTTTGATCCTCGCAGGCGTTTTGCTCGTCTTTAGCTGAATTTTCAGACCAAACAGAGAAGTCTTTATCCGCCTTTGTTTCTTCAAAAGCCAGGGAGGGGACGATGGCATATCTGTTTTCTGGGGGCTTCTTTTCGTCATCAGTTTTTGCGACATTCTTCAACATCTTCTTCTCCTGGCCTCTCCTGGTCCCGTCGGCGCTGCTATCGCTGACGTCGCTCGACCCACTGACAGACGGCGTTTGAGAGTTTCGCCTCCACCTCCAGGGGAACGCAGAGTCGTCGTCCGACCGCTTGAACTTTTGCTTCAGCTTGTTGAACATCTGGTCCATTTTGTTGGGACCCTTGCAGACCCTCTCTGACTCGGACCTGCTGATGGCGGAGCTGGGCGTGCTGACGCTCCTCTTYGGCGGACCCCGGCCTCTCTTTTGGCTTTGCTCGTCGTTCACCTCGACTGAAGAGGATTTGTTTTTGCTCAGCACACTTTTGTTGTTGCTTTCACAATCGAAGGACTGGCTCTCTGTGGATTTGTCGTCAACCTCGTCACCCAGCRCTGGGTTTGACTGCTGACTCGACTTGGTCTCCACAGAAACTAACGTGCTCGTGCCGTGTTGCAAACACTTAGGTGTGGTGTTCCTCAGAGCAGCAGTGGCAGCATCTCCTTTGGACTTAACGCTGTAAACAAGCGTCTCCGTCACAAACATTGAAGAGGAGGTGTGCCCATCGTCACCAGAGAGAGACTCTGAACTGATCTGAACTCTGTTGTCGAGAAGCTGGATCTGATTATTCGTGTGTTCTTGGTCCTTGATGTGGTTGTTGTTAACTCTATCTGTGTCTGAAAGGTTGTGGGCTAAGCCGTCTTGCAAGGCGTTTGCTCTTTGCACGGGGTACTGTTTGACGGGCGTCAGAGGATATTTGGATGTCGGTAACGCCACGTGCAGGTCGTTATTTGAGGAGGTTTGAGGGGTGTAGTTTCGCTGAGAAAACGTTGGGGCCTTCTTCTCTCCCTGCGTCTGCCTGCTGGACATCAACGTGGAGTAAGGCGGGGTGCTGTAGCGAACCTTGAGGCCGCTCGAAAAGTCCGGCGGGAGGGAGAGAGGAGCCGAGGAACGAGACGGAACTGTGCCGGACTCCCACGACAGGGTCCTCTCCTGCCGGGCTACATTCAAGCCCCTCCTCGCTTGGTCCAGGTTTAACGTATCGACGGTCACACGTTTGTTTTTCTCGACAGCGTCAGACGATAGGGAGCGATGGTTCTCTGGTTTTCCCACCTGCCTGCTGAAAGCCTTAGGGTTAGGGGAGCAAACAGAAGTTGTGCACCCTTCTGCGCTTTCTGACCGCAAAGAGAGGTCACTGTGAGGGGGTTCGGAGGGGGATGTTTGGGCCTGAGAAGCCTTCTCCACGGCGTCCAACTCTGAGCACTGCACGTCCACAGAGTCCCCCCACGTTACCCGCCGCTCCCTCTTTTTCTCCATCTTGGGTGATGGTTTCTTTGGTTCATTTTCTGGGCTGTTGGTCAGGATGCTTTTCACTTTGCCTTCCACGTTGAGGCTCCCTGGAGTCRCGGGAGGAGTTAGAAGAGAGGAAGCGGGGATAAAGGTGGGAGACGTCGCGTCGGCGGGAACAGAGGGGCTGTGAGGGGATGTGGACGCGGGGCTGCCCTTTGTTCTGGGGAAAGGCTCGACTTTGGAAACCAGGCTGGATGCAGTTTTGGAACGGAACGGTTTGGGAAGACAGACGTAGCTCCTTTCGAAGCCAAGAGGAGTGACGTTGGCTTTGCTGGGGAAACTTGGTGTGCGGGTCGACTGGAAAGAAAGCGTGTTTTTGGAAGCGGTTTGAGGAGCAGGCTGGCTGAAGTCATGAGACAAAGCTGACGTTTGTGAGTCCGTGTTGTGAGGCGATGTTTGGCTGATGCTGGTTTTGGATGGAGAACCATTATATTTGCCATCTGTGGGTGGATTTAAAGTCCTGGGATTAAATGAAGTGTTACTAACATCCCTTTTGTTGAGCTCCACGGTGTACCTCAGTGCAATTTGGGGTGGGGCTCTGCTCATTTTAGAAGTGGGCAAACAATCGGGCATGCTGTAAGTTTTTTGTGGTTCTCTATTGTCCACAGCTGAGTCATACTGCTGCCTGTTAATCCCTTTTGATTCAGGCGACTGCATCTGTACAGTCAGGTTCATGTTGCCTTTACAAACCTTCAAGTTGTTATTGTCTGGGAAGTTTTGACTAACCGGTCTTCTGTCGTCTGTGTTCGTCTTGTCCTTTGTGTTGCTGTGAACGAGGGGAGCGCTGCCGTCCTGGGACACCTGTTTCCACCAGGAGGTGTTGGTCAGGGTGGTCCGTCTCGGGAGGGAGCGTGTTTTTACCAGGGCAGGGTGATCGTATGAAAACGATCTGGGAGAGAAGATGGACGTTTCTGGCATTGGGTTTGCGTTGTCGTAACTTGAGCTGTTGTGTTGCCTCTCGTCTGGGTTTTTGCTCTGAAATGATTGAGTTGAGGACGTGAGATTGGCCTGAGGTGAACGGGTAAAGGAACCGTCTTTGTAGTTGGAGGTTGTCGGGGAAAGGATGGACCCGGTTTCTGTTTTATAAGAAATGGAGGACGGGGAGAGAAGGGACCTCGGCCTCTCTTCGTTATTATTGAACGAGGTTTGAGAGAGCAGTTTTCCGTTTTGATGGTTTGGAGAACCGCTCAGGGAGGAGCTGACCTCTGGGAAGATGAAGGACGTATTTGAGTTCATGTTGGATCTCCTTATAGACAGAAGCAAAGTGCTCGTTGTCGGTTTTGAATTCATAGAGGACAGTCGTTCTTGGGGTCCTTGTTGGCCTGCTTGTGGACTACTCCTGTCGCTTTGGTCAATCAGGAGGGGTGACCAGGGAGACAGAGAGGGAGAAGGACTTGTTAAATCCAAAGAGACAGTCTGAGTCATTTTACGTTTAGATTCAAAATCCAAGCTTGAAGGATCACTTTTGGTCGACCAGTCCACCGTGTTCCTCCTGGCGTCCTGAAGAGAGACACCCCTTGGGATGTGAAACCCAAGCTGGTTGTGAGTGCTTTCATTATTCTGCAGAAAGGAGTTGTCGGTCTCGTCGAATCTTTTGGTCCGTCTTGGACGGCTACCCCAGGGAGGAGCGAGAACCGTCACCATGGTGGACGATAGCATGGCTCCAGAGCGGTCAGACGGGTTATCAAAGCTTATATTCTGCCTTATGTCCTTTGTTTCAGTTAGAGGTCCACACCAGCTCCTCGGTTTGCAGAAGCCATCATGAGAAAGAGTTAAGTTCGTGGTAATCCCCAGTTCATGGTTCAGAACTGCGCTGATTTCTTCCTCCTTTGTGATCGGGAACAGAAGAGTCTGTGGCACCGGACCGACGCAGGCTGGTTCTATACAGGCGTCCAGTGATGTTCGTCCATTAACCTGTTAAAGACACAAACATTTACTCTTCAGTTTGTGTTATTTCAACAATTTATATATCAAAAATGTTCAGCCTCTTCAGGATATTCCTGCTATAAGCAATGTTGCACAAAGAGCAGAAAAAAGATGAAACTACCAGAAAGAAGGTGCAAGAAGCAAAAAAGTGTGAATTTAAAATAAAATATTACAAAATAATAATAATAAAAGTGAAACTTAGACAAAAGACAGAAAAATTGCAGAAAAATTGACTTTTATTTTGAAATCTGGAAATCAKCTGTGAAAGAGCATGTTTGCTGAATTGAGCAGTAAGAAGCTGGAGTTATCACAAAATGGGAAATTAGCTGAAAAAAACCTAAAAGTAGCTAAAATAACTGCGATTAGCATTTAAAAACTGAAGGAGCATGTAACTAAGCAAAAAAAAAAAAAAGGGCAGAAGACCACCAAAACATGGATTTAGTTGAATGATGCTCAATTTAGCAAAAAATTGCTAAAGAGTAGCTGAAAAAGCAGAATAAAGCTGAACAAGCATAAAATGCTTAAATTAACAGTAATAAGTCAAGACAAGCACATCAAAGTTGATATTAGCAAAAACAATTTTAAAACAGATAAAAGGTGCTGAAAACAGCTAAAATTAGCAAAACATTGAAAGAAGCTGAAATTAGCACAAAAGTTAAAAAAGCAGAACCAGAACAAAAGTTCAGTAAAGGTTTATGAACATTTAAAAGAGTTTTAATGATTTACAGATAATTCCAATCTTTCAAGAAAAATATAGCTTAAAAAGCTAAATTTCTTAAAAAGCATAAACTGCTGAAATACCAAAAGTCATAGCCAAAAATATTTTTTGCTAATATCTGTGATTTGTTTTCAGACATTTCTGCTCTTTTCAGCTATTCTGCTAAATAAATCTGTTGTGCTTCTTTCTGCTGTTTTCTGTAATTGAAGCTACTTTATAGATAAAAGCTAAATTATCTTTTGTGATTTTTTTAGCTCCTTCTTTCATCTGCTTCTGCTATTTTTAGCTTTTTCAGCTATTTTACAACAAATTGCTCAAATTTTGTACATTTTTTTCCTTTTTGTCTGCATAAACCTATCAGCTTTCTGAATTCACACGGCATTATTGAAAAGAAAATTGCTAAATCTCTAGTTTAATAATTTGAATGAGGTGTGCTGAAGCAGACAAACAGCTAAAACATGCAGGACAGTGGGTCAGGAGGCACAGGGTTGAAGAACTCTGCTCTAAATAACACAACAATAATTTTCTACACCACGTCTCTGTTTGCAGTTAGCAGTTGTCAGCTCACACACGTCAAATCTTATTAATGTAAATTCTTCGGCCAGCAAAGAGAAAACCCGTCTGGCTCTTCCAGCAGCAGACAGGAAACTGTAAAAAGATCGTCTGGACCTCTAAAAGACTTTCAAATCACAAGCCAGCATGAGCAAGTGCTTTTCTAAAGTTTGTGTTCCCATAGCTTAGCTATTTTAAAGATTCAAGTCTTGACAAACAGGTCTTTTGGCACGACTTGAGAGACTCAAAAAAAAAAGTACACACACCCTGTTTCTTTTAACAGTTCCAATAATTATCGATGTCAAATGTTTTTAGGCGGTACTCAAAAAACAATCAGGTAACAAATCAAAGAAGTGAAAGTCTCGATTAGACCAGGAACATTTTTGGTGGGGTTTGATGTGCGCCACATTTGAATAAAACGAGGTCAGTGTTCATTAATATCATCGACTGTTGTTTACCTGAAAGGTGTAGTCCCTGATTTCCACTGGCTGTGGTTCAGTCAAACTGGGAGTAAAAGACAGACAGAGGACAGGAAGTCAGTCACAACTTTCTCATTTGACATCCTGTGTCATAAAAGAGGCTAAATGTTTATCAACAATTATTTGACCCATTTTACTTCCGTACATTTTTTGGCAGGCAACTCATTCAGCAATTTTTGTGCTATTTCAAGAATTTATAAATGAAAACATTCGGCTCCTTCAGGACATTCCAGCTATGACTTTTAGTATTTCAGCAATTTATACTTTTTGAGATATTTATCTTTTTAGGCCATTTTCTTTTTTTCTGATTGAAAACTAATGGAGCTGTCTTTATCCTTAAACCATTGAAAACATTCATAAATCTTCACTTTTTATCTTTTGTTCAGGTTCTGCTTTTTAAGTCCTTTATGCTAATTTCAACTTTTTGTGCTTCTATAAACTGCTTTCTGCTAATTTCAGCTGTTTTCTGTGTTTTTAGCTAATTTGGGCTTCTTTTTTAAGCAAATTTAAACTTCATGTTATTTTAGCTTTTTACTACTTATTTCAACAAACATGCTCTTTTGTTTCTTTGTACTAATTTCTTTAATTTCAGTTACTTTTTAAAACATATTTATAGGCTAGTTTTAGCTTTTTTTTTAGCTTTTCAGCAAAAATCTTTCAGCATTAAGGATTCATTTGCATTTTTGAAAGAAATGCAAATTCTCTAGATCTGTTTTATGGTAATTTATTTGTTTTTAGCATCTTTCAGTAGCTTTATTGTAATTCCAGCTGCCTGTCTTCTGCCTTTTTAGCTACTTTTTATATATTTTAGCTAGTTTTAGCTTTATTTCAGCTACATTCACTTTTGTGATAATTTCAGCTTCTTATTGCTYAATTCAGCTAACATGCTTTTTTTGCTTCTTTGTGCTAGTTTCTACTTTTTCAGCTACTTTTGTCCTTTTTCAGTTATTTTCAGCTGTTTTAGCTATTTAACAACAATTGTAACTTCTTTGTACACCTTGTCATGTTTTTATGCTGATTATAATTTTCTCTCCTTTTGCTAATTTAAACTCGTTTCTGCTGTTTACTTTTTCCCCCTAATTTTAGCTACTTTCAGCAAACGTCTTTCAACAATAATAATTCACACGGTTTTTCCGCAGGAAATGCAAATCGTCTAGTTCCAATTATTTTATGCTTCTTTTAGCTTCTTTGAGCTAATTTGTTTGAGCGTCTTTCAGCTGATTTTTTGTATTTCCAACTTGTCTTTTGCTTTTTAGCTACTTTTTACGTATTTTTAGCAAATTTTAGCTTCATTTCAACTAAATTCACTTTTTTTGCAATACTTTCAGCTTCTTACTGCTTTGTTCAGCAAACATACTTTTTCTGCTTCTTTGTGCTATTTTCGGCTTTTTCAGCCACTTTTGAACCTTTTTCAGTTATTTTTAGTTGTTTTAGCTCTGTACTCCTTTTCGAGTTTTTCTACTAATTACATTTTTTCTCTCCTTTTGCTAATTTCAACTGGTTTTGCTACTTTCAGGGGTTTTTTGTGCTAATTTTAGCTACTTTTACTTAMAGTAAAAATCTTTCAACAATAAGCATTCACATAGTTTTTCCGCTGGAAATGCAAATCATCCAGTTCCAATTATTTTGTACTTCTTTTAGCTTCTTTGAGGTAATTTGTTTGAGCRTCTGTCAGCTGCTTTCTTGTAATTCCAGCTGCCTGTCTTCTGCTTTTTTTTAGCTACTTCTAACATACATTTAGCACATTTTAGGTTCATTTCAATTAAATTCACTTTTTGTCATACTTTCAGCTTCTTACTGCTTAGTTCAGCAAACATGCTTTTTCTGCTTCTTTGAGCAAGTTTCTGCTTTTTCAGCCACTTTTGAATTTTTTTTTCAGTTAATTTCAGCTGTTTTAGCTCTGTGCTCCTTTTTGTGATTTCTACTCATTGCAATTTTCTCTTTTTGCTAATTTCAACTGGTTTCTGCTACTTTCAGTTGTTGGTTTATTTTGTTTTGTTTTGCTAATTTTAGCTACTTTCAGCAAACGTCTTTCAACAATAAGCATTCACAATGCTTTTTTGCAGGAATTGTAAATTCTCTAGCTGTTTTCTTTATCGTCGCTGCTCACATGAAACAGACGGTGTAATATGTCTGTTGAAAATAAACGTATTGGTGAGATCAAACAAAACTTATTAACCAAGTGTAACTTCAGCCGACACACACACACACCCAGTTCAGCTGTAATGTTTTTGTGAGTCGATCCTGCWGGAATGCAGAGAAACGGGACGCACAACGTTCTTCTCCTGCGTTCACCTTCCATGAACAGTTTTTTTTCCCATCGTCACAAGTGTCGGTGCGGGGACCTCCAAATGTTTTTGGACAGGAYGTGGGACACGAGTCACTAAAAACGACACCTGATCTCCATTCGACACGTCACTACCAGGTTAYATTGGTGTGACGTTAGGACAGAGATAAGGACGGGGGTCAAGAAATGAGCTGATAAAGCATTTTTTATTGACTGCCTCCAATAACAAACTGCTTGTAAAAGCTGGAGAAGAATGTGCTGAGTGTTCTCATAAAACCAGGAGCATAGCTCATTGTTATATTTAAAAACCAAGACATCCTCTAGTCTCTTTTCATCAGCCCTCAGGTGATTTGTTCGACTTTACGACACGTTAAYTCTGAGATTTAATCTCTCGAGGAAATAAGAGATTTATTTATTTCCCCCGCTAAGCTGTGAGTTAGAAAATGAAACTTATGAGAGTAAAACAAAAGAGAGAATACATTAAAGCTGCGCTCAGACTATCAGGTCTACATGACTGAGTTCACTTCCTTGTTTGCACAAGAAGCTGACCGTTCCGGGTCACGAGCGGTCCAAAGATCCTGTTAATGTTTGACTAAAAGTGAAGGTTTGAACAGCGTCAGGTGACCTGACTCCTGAGCCGTACCTGGACTGTTGAGCTGACCACAGGTCTAAAGTCCTCCTGAGTCTGGATTTCTGTTTGGAGCCCTGGATCCTGAGTCCGGGCGAAGCGGGGTTCTGTCTCAGACCGTCGCCTCTCGGTATCGGTGCTGCAACAGATTCAGAATCCAGGAGTCAGTTTCAGGTCTTCAGACTGTTTTAGTTTTTTTTGATGAACTTCACCTGCGTGTTCCTCTTCCTGTCTGCTGACTTTATGATTCTCGTGTCTGAAGCTTCCAAACGTTTCATCCTGGTATTCTCTGTCAACAACAACAACAACAACAACAACATTCTTATTATTCAGGTCATTTTCTTCTTCCGCACGTTTTTTTGACGCGTAACTCGTTCCACAGTCTTTGTGCTATTTCAACAATTTACACGTCAAAACGTTCAGCTCCTTCAGCACATTCCAGCTAYRACTTTTGGTATTTCAGCAACTTATAATTTTTGAGATATTTAACTTTGTCGGCCATGTTTTCCTCATTGAAAACTAAAGGGCTCGACACACGGGAGGCGACGTCACTCGCTCTCCATTCATTTCCTATGGAGCCTGTGCGATGAGGTGACAATTGCTTGCCCTCCTCCAGCTAAGCGACCGGCAAAAATAGTGCATGTGAAATTTCGCGCTCGTACACGTACACGTGCACACGCGAGCTTGAGACGCGACGTATGAAAGTTGAAAAATGTTCAACTTTTGTCACTGTCACTTAGCGTACAACCAATCAGCGAGGGTTTCATTAACTGACCAATGAGAGGAGAGTATGCTACACACTGC